GCATAGCTTCGAACCCCGGCATCGATCGACGATCCAGCAATTGCAAAATGACCATGGACAGTATGATAAGTGTACAGAAAGGAATTGAAAAAGTAAGTAGTTTGCGTATAATGTCACGCGTACGGTGTCTTGCCAGTATCAATTACAAATTTACAATATGTAAATTTTTTATTTCTAGATGGACATAGTTACAAATGAAAAACAGGAGGAAAAAGTGGAGGAAAAAGTAAAAGAAGAGCCGTCCCCAAGTGCCCAAAACACACCACAAATGTCTGGAAGAAAAGTAAGTAATGTGTTTCACATTTATTTATTTCGATTTATTTCCCTACGGTAAATTATGTATTTACAAAAAAATTATTATAACTAGCCCGGAATCCGAACTCCTCAATCGTTTAAAGCTTTAAGCAAACGCGGATTTTATCAATGAAATTAATTCTTCGACAGTCTTTAAAAATTAATTTTTTAATATATAAAAAATATATAGGTACATATAAAATATTTTACATTTTCATTTTTCTGTTTCAGATGCGTAAAATATTGAAACGTTTATTGCGATACTCGGCATGGGGAAGAGCCGCCATAGGCTTCCGCGGAAGAGGATGTAACCGCGGAAGAGGAGGTAACCGCGGAAGAGGAGGTAACCGCGGAAATGGAGGCAACCGCGGAAGAGGCGGAATAATTTTATGGTAACCGCGGAAATGGAGGCAACCGCGGAAGAGGCGGAATAATTTTATCAGGGTGTACAATATATGGCGGTATAAGAAATTAAAAATAAAAAGAAATAAATATTAGTAAATGGTGTACGGTTTCCTTTGCGTACCTCATCCCCTTTCGGTCGCGATATTCATTTCGGGTCAATTGTTAACAATGTTAATGCGTTGCTAACTTTTTTGTTTTTAATTACGTAGACGTAGACATGTTTCGTTGAATTTTTAATTTAATTAAATTAGCAAAAATAAATGTCTGTATTGAAAAGTCGGTAGTCGAATCCCTGCGTCGATCAATAGATACCGCTCAATTTCGATCAGACTCTCGTGTGTTACAAAAAAATAAAATCTATACTTTTCTTCGTTATTGTTTTTCCGGTTTAAAATTTTTCACACGTACACAAATATACTGCGTTATTAAGATATTCATAAATCAGGTTTAATTAAAATATTTTAAAGAGATCCTTCTAAAGTATCCTTCCTAAAGTGATGTAAGTGTGAACTATTTGCTTGGTCATCGGTTTGAAAATAATAAAATCGTAAAAGTGATTAGGTTCTAGGAAACATGTGTGACGAGGCAACTACGCAATATAAAAGCAAAAAGAGTTTTATTAATTTAACTAATCATTCGATGTAAGCATAACGTTTGAAACTACAAATAAATATATTTCGAATTATGTTGTGTTTAGTCTTATTTTAATTAGAAAAATGTCAAAATTGTAATAGTAAAAGTTTCATATGAAAATAAAGGAACATAAAAAGGCTTGACTGTTACATTACGATTATCCTAGTGATATGTTATTGTT